CTCTAGCAGAGGTAGCAAACTAGAAGCCACTCAGTGCTCAGCTTGAGAATTACTTATATCAGAAATTTGAGCATGTAGCTGATGAATATCCGCAGACAGGTGGTTATTATTCCACAACCTCCTAAATGCTGACAACAGACTTTTTGAGGTTGACTTAAAAATATATTGTAAAGGTTTTGAAGTTTCTGCCCTTTTCTACCCACCTTCCTTCTATCCAAAGTGTCAGGAAAGTACCTTTAACCTTAGCAATAGCATTCATCCTCTGTGTTAACTCTGTTTATCGCATGTCTGCCATTGAGTTACCACTGTGTCTCTATCTCTGACTGAAAGCCCCTTAAAATAGGAATCATAACAGGTGTTCATCCATACACCTAGCTCAGTGCCTAGTCTATAATGAGTGCTCAGTAAACATTTGTTAAATTGAATTGAACTAAAAGGATTGTATCATAATACCATAGAAGGGGCTTTTTACATTTGCTTTTAAAGTGAAATAGATTTAGAACAAAACTGTTGTTAAGTGCCATCAAGTCAGTTATGATCCATAGCGACCCTGTATAGGGTTTCTAAGGCACGGTTGGTGGGTTTAAACCACCCACCTTGTGGGTAGCAATCCATTGCTTTATCCTACAGCACCATACCAGGACTAGAAAAGAAAAATCATTCTTTTTTTGTTGTTTTTAAACATCGTCTAAATTTGGGGTATAGCTACCAATATGTTAATCACCCATAATTTTTAAGCTTTCTATGCAGTGACTCATAAAGTCCCCAAATAGATACTTTTAAAAAAGTCACAATGGCCCTAGGAAACAAATTAGGCCTGGCTAATATAAATAGTAAGTGTTTTTCTTTTTGCTGTCAGGAATGTGGGCCCTTAATGTACAGAGAAGGATCTTTAAGTATAATTTCAGGGCAACTGCTCCTCTCCGTTGGACAAGGAGCAGATTTCCTCTGGACTTGAAGCAAGGGATACCTGATAAATTCCTGTAGGGATTCCTAGCACATTTGTTTCATTCTTTCTTTCTCGCAGTCTAGTCAAAGGCTTGCGCTGTGTTGCCTTTTAAAAAAAGCAAATATTCCTCAACTCCTGACATTTGTTTTCCAGCCTCCTAGTGTCTCCAGTCCAACTGGTCAAAATATCAGGCCAGACAGAGTTACTTGTATTTCAGTCAACAGATAAATGAACTTAGCTTCTATTCCTTTCTCTCCATTTCACCAATTTTTTCTTTTGGAAATGAGTTTTGCACTTAAATCCTCCATTTCAAAAATCTCTCAGGTCTTAAACTTCAAAACAGTGGTAATAATAAGATATCTGGTCATTCATTCCTCCAGTCCTCTGTCAGCTATAGATCCCTCTGAGTTAGAGACCTACTTATAAATATCATTCAGATAACTCTTGTATTGGAATCCTGGTGTGGCACTGTAGGATACACACTGGACTGCTAACCAGAAGGTTGGTGGTTCAAACCCACTCATCGAAAACCCTATACTCATAGAGTCACAAGAATAGGAACCGACTCGATAGCACTTAACAACAACAACCAACAACAATCACCACTATATTAAAGAGAAGACTTTTATGCCAATGGGTATTTATTTTCATTAAATCATTTATTGAGTACACTTTTATTGAGTTGGCCTCTGGATATCAGTCTTTATTTGAAGCCCTGGAGATAAAAAGCTGAATAAGATGCACCCTAAGGAGCTCACAGTCTATACAAGCCACAGGAATACATGTAGCACCTGACTTATGATATATTCAAGGTACAGCCAACCACATTTATGATCATGGTGGGGGTTTTTATGGTCCATTTTATGTTAGTAGCATACAATGGAATACCAGGCTAGTATTCGATCTGTTGTACATAGGATCACTATGAGTTGGAACTCACTCAACAGCATAGCACATACAACAACAGCGGTATTCCTTGCATACTATTCACAATATCTTTTCATCTAATTAGATGGAATGAGCAAGATATTCTGTCTTTGGAGGTGCTTCCCCCCACCCCCACCCCATTTTCCTTTAAGTAATCTCAATTTTATTTGTTAGTTTCCTAGAGGAAGTTTTGGCTTCTGAACTGCACAGTCGAAGCAAGGAGAGCTCTCAAGTTACATCAAGATCAGCAAGCAGGAGGTGAAATGGTGATGGAGAGGTGGAGAGAACAGCTCAGCTTCCTGCTCTCTCCTACTGCGGGCTTTCCCCACTGACCCTAGGTGCTGGAGAGGAGCCCTGGGTTTCATACTTGTTGTTAGATCTTCTCTCCAGTAGCCTGCTGATTCCTGAACCGTCAGCAGTGATACAGAGACTCCCCATGATGAGCTGAGAATAAGTATGAGTCCAGCCCAGCCCAGTTTTCTCGTAATTTCTTTATAAAAGAAAGAAATATGTTTCTTGTGTATTTGGTAACACAATCACTTGCTGATGAATTTTGTTGGGTTCATACTTGAGAAAAGAGTTATCAGAGCCTAGAGAAGTTTTAACAAAAAATAATCATTGGATGCATATGCTACACTCCTTGATTTCCTCTCTCCCCTTTTCACCCCTTTTTGTTTTCATTAACTACATTCCTGCACAACTCATTCCTGAAAACTCACCATGTTTCTTTAAAGAACTGTCTTAATAATTGTTCCCATGTTGAAAATGTCTCTGGTCCAGAGAAGCCATGTATGACTACAATAAAAATCTATTTAAGAAAAGATAAATGTGATTTTTGTTTGTTTCTCTAGGGTTAATAATTATCCATGGATATTCAGGATTGTCACCAAACATAGAGAAGGCACTACCTCTACCCAAAGGGTATTTAAAATGTGGCTATGCAATTCATAAGATCTGGTTTTCTATTTCTCTTAAAAGTAATGGAAAGCTTCCACAGAAGGTTGGAAATAGAAATACCTTACGATACAGCAATTCCTCTACTTGGTATTTATCCAGAAGAAACACGAGCCATAACACGAGTAGATATATGCACACCAGTATTCATAGCAGCACTATTTACAATAGCAAAAAGATGGAGACAGCCTAAGTGCCCATCAATGGAAGAATAGATAAACAAACTTTGGTACATACATACAACGGAATATTATGCTACTTTGAAGAATAAACAAGAAAGCTCTAAGCTACCACATGCATAACATGGATGAACATTGAAGACATTATACTAAGTGAAATGAAATTAGTCACAAAAGGAGAAATACTGCATAGGACCATTATTGTAAAAAATTAAGAAAAGGACCCACACTAAAAGGGGAAACAAAAAGTTATTTCCTGGTTACAGGGTATATGAGGTGGGGTGAAGGTGGAGCACAGGGTAGGAAATAGACACAGGATAGTTTGGGTGCTGGGGAGGGTACAATACACAAGAAGGGGGAGGGGAATGGAAGAACAAGGCAGATTGGAGAAAAGTTAGGCAGGTTTGCATGGGCTGAGTAGGACAGAGGTAAATAATGATGTGTGCACAAACTTGGAACAACAGGGCTATAGGATACAGGGATTGAAGCATAGTTTGAATGGGTAAAAGAGGGATAATAATGTTAAGATGCTTGGCTGTCTTTTGAATCTTGGTTTCCCCTGCCTACTATTGTAAAATAGACACTTGAGGGGGAGAGAAAAGAATAGCCAGAAACACCACCATAGAAAACTTGTAAGTTAATCTTCAGCCTATAACAGATTGGAATACCTAAACTGGGGCTAGAACTTGCCCAGTGAAGGAGGCTTCCTGTGGAGCCTTTGCATTGCATAAGACAATAGGTGGAATCCTGATCCCCAACCAGAATCTTCTGAGGTGGGAAATTTCCACTTGATAAGACAAGCAGACCAGCCTGGAGCAGCTAGAAGAACAGAAGATACTTCTTGAAAGAAAGACCAGCAGGAAAAATAAAAAAGAATAACAGCAGTCTTATTGACTACTACAAGAACAAGCAAATTGTTCGCCCAGGAGACATCAAGGCAAGTGGTTGGGTCCCCTCAGGGCAAACCCCTTTGACGACTGAGATTCAAGGGGAATACACAAGCAGGGATGTGGTCTTGCTGGTGACTGTGGTGGTCACCAATAAAGGGAAGTGGGGGAAAATAGCAATGAAGTTGGGAGCTAAGTCTGACCATGTTCAATAGACTCCTGTCCACCTGGGTTGAGACCTGAATGGCCAGCAGTATGGCAAGATCTGGGGACTCCTGGATCCAGAGACAAGGACATGGCCACAGAGGACTAGAGTAGAGAGTGAAGTGTCCAGCTGATATGAAGTAAGGGGAGATGCACAAGAACACCCATACTTGCAGATAGCACCCACTTGACCTGGCTTCAATGACTGGATGATAAGAATTCGGCTAGAAGATGAAAGAAGAGGAAATATCAAAAGACAGAATGAATCTTTACAGCAAGGATCATTCCCACCCCCTCAGTACACTGGGTTGACAGGGATGGGTAACAGACATTAGCTACCCAAAATGAAGGGGCTACAAAGGCAAGAAGTGACTGGCTTACAAGCTTTCAAGAGGGTGCCTAGTTCCAGAGGATGTAGGGAAAGGTAGAATCTCCACTGAGTGGTTTCCAACTTGTGTGGATGGGACTGATGAAAGGAGATGGGGATAAGACTCTTGTGGTTCAATAGTGAATAATTGCTATCAGGACTGACTTTGAGTGTTGGAAATGTTAAGGTAGACGTTTTATAACAAAAGGAAGGGAATGATTGATTTTGTAGTCCAGGAGCGGAGGTTCCTGGGACCATGAAGGGAGAAGAGCAGAGTGCGGGACCCTACCCAGAGAAACAGTGACACCAATGATGGAGGCAGAGACGATGACGTGGAGAGATGGAGTGGTTGGGGACACTGGACTCAGGAAGGGAGAGGGGCTGTGGGCTGATGGCCAGGAGGGCAGGCTGGCAGGGTGTACCCTTTGGTTGGTTGATGATGCATGGAGGGGACTGTAATCATTGCAATGAAACAAAATACGATAGGATGAATGTAAAGCTAATGTTCCCCCATGTAAACTATCACATAATTCACAATAAAAACTTAAAAAAAAAGTAGTGGAAAGTGGTGGTATTATTAATGCTAGGAAATTACATATTAAAGCATCACAAAGAGCCCTGGTGTTGCGGTGATTACTATTCAAACCCAGCAGCCACTCTTAGGGAGAAAGCTATGGCATCTGCTTCTGTGAAGATTACAGTCTTGGAAACCCTATGAGACAGTCCCACTCTGTCCTAAGGTCACTATGAGTTGGAGTTGACTTGTTGGGAACAGGTTTTTAAATCATCACAGTAAAAACACCACGACACAATCTCATCCTAGTTCTCTGTAGATATATATACAAGAGAGACTTTTATTTTACAATAATAAATATTCTCTAGAGTCAGAGGGCTAGAACCAAATCTATGTCACAGCTATGTGACTTTAGGAATATCACTTAGCCTCTTTGTGACTGAACTTCCTCTCAACTAAAAATGAGAATAGTATCTTCTTCATAGAAATTGTAAAGCTTAAATGAGATAAAAGTTAATACATATAAAGCAGGTAGAACATTGGTGTATAATAATCATTCAATAAATTTGGCTAATAATAATGTTATTGTTAGATGCCATCAAGTCTATTCCAACTCATAGCAACTCTGTATAGGGTTTCCCATGAATAGATGGTAGGTTTGAACCCCACCCTTGAGGTTAGCAGTCCAGTGCTTATCCAACAGCATCATACTAGGATTCTAATAGTAATAATGTTGTTGTTCAGTGCCATTGAGTCGGTACCAACTCAGCAACCTTATGTACAGCAGAACGAAACACTGCCTGATCCTGGATCAACCTCACTATTGTTGCCACGCTTCAGCCCATTGATGCTACCACTTTGCCAATCCATCTCGCTGGGGGTCTTCCTCTTTCTCTAACCCTTCACCTTACCAAACATGATAGCATTCTCCAGTGACTGGCCCCTCCTAACAATATGTCCGAAGTATAAGAGACTAAGTTTGGCCATCTTGTCCTCCAAGGAGAACTCTGGCTAAACTTCTTCCAACACAGACCTGTGGGTTCTTTTGGCAGCCCATGGCACTTTCAATATTCTCCTCCAACACCGTAACTCAAAAGCATCAATTCTGTAGGATTAATTCTTGTCTCTAAGTTAAAGATACAAAATTGCTATGGAAAATTAAAACCCTCCCATTTCACTGATCACCAGTTTAAGAAATAAAAGGAAATACTGAAAGTTCCTTCTCTCCATCTTTTTTCCATTCTGACCTGCCCTCAGTTGTTCCTTTACCTTATGCACACTCATGTGAAACCCTGAGGTTCCTGTCCATATTATAGTGAAAATGCAAATGGGCTTTTGGTTTGTTTGTTCTGCTTTTATGGGTCCCTTTGAATACATTAAAAATTGTTTTCCTTTATAAGTCATTGAAACCACCTACACCTGGGAGGCAATATTTTAAATGCAGCATTTTATAAGTTATAGAGTCTCTTCAAATAGTATATAAGTATATACTTACATTGTATATACAAGGGGCTTCAAAAAGGTGGTGGGAAAATAGTTTTAAAATATAATAGCATTCTTTTAAATATAATAAATATAAAATATAATATTAGCTTTTTGAAGCCCATATACATATATATGGGTGAGTGTGTGTGTATATATATTTTGTTAAGTGCTGTGGAGTCAGTTCCGATTCATAGCAATGCTGTATAGGGTTTCTGAGGAGAGGCTGGTGGGTTTAAACCACCAACCTTGCAGT